AAGGACCATGTAGTTGGTGATGCTGGTCGAAAATAAGAAGTTGGATTTTGAAAAGAAGAATAGGCTGGAGTTGAAGAGAATAGAGATGTATAGTGATCTGTCTCTGGGTTTTGCTGCCTAATCTTTTATTCGATGTAGTTATCCATCTCTTGAATCTGGGCTTTGAGCTTTTTGATTTCCCTTTCTTTGGCGTGAGATAATTCTCCGAAGACGTTGTTTTTCCAGTCTTCCTCTAACTTTGAGATTTCTAAGGAGAGTTGCTTGTAGTGCTTCCTCAAAATAGAATTAAGGTGCTGGAGTTTGTCATCAGTCTCCTCAAGATGTGTGGAGATCTTGTATATCTTCTTATCAATTTTCTGCAAGATAGAATTCTGAGCTCGAACATTCTCTGTCTGCCAGTTTAGGACTTCTTCGGCCTGGCTTAATAGTTTGGTATTCCCATCTGGTCAAATTTCTTAACAAACAACATGTGGTTTGGTTGTTGTCTTGGACACAGGATCAACTTTCTTTTCTAATGGAGGAAATTCCTCCTTGTAGGCTGAAGGGTTGATCATCATACATGGAATGAGAGGATTTACAGGAACAGGCTGAGGTGGCATGGCAGAGGTTCTGCACCTTTCTTGTTTGGAGAAGAAGAGATCTTCCTCTTCAAGGATCTCAACATATCGCCTATATTTCCACAAGGGATTGGCTCATATTGGGAGTGAATTCCTATCCACGGGCTTTTTCCAGGTTCAAATCTCCTGGAGGGAGAGAATGGAGGTTTGCAAGATCCTCCTTTAAAGTCATCATCATCATTATCTGAGTCATCATCATCCTCGTCACTAGTGTCTCCATAGTGGTAACAACATTCACAGTCAGAATCACACATGTCTGGGTCAGCATCCCAGATGAAGTGTCCTTCTATCTTGTCAGTAAAGATAGGTTTGTCATCAGGCACACGCTGGCGATAGGGATTTTGCCTTCCTTGGTGGCAGGTGTTATCATCATCGACTGGAATATGGAGGTGCTAGAACTTGGAGCATCTTCTGGATTCTTGAAGATGGTTCTGACAGTGCCATCTACGGATCTTCTAAATGTTGCTTCTCTGAACTGGATGGGTTTCTGGTTATTATGGAGTTTCTCATAGTTAGTCACCCACTGTATCGGAATAAGCTTGTGAAGAGATATTTCTGGGGATTTGAACTATGGAAGGTGTCTCATCTTGGTTATTGGTCAAGACGAATATTGCTCCATCTTTACAGTATGATAACGTAAGATTTATCGCATGATCTTGTAACTTGTATATGATTTGATGATGAAGAGTGGTTGATAGTGCATCAGCTACTTGTTCAGCTCCAGTGATCTGGATCTGAACCTTTAATCTCTGGGAGATTGTGGGATCTTTCAAGCTAACGTTGAAGTTCGGAAAGATAGTGAGAACTACACTTCCAGCATGAAGAGTAGTTAGAACAGTACCAATGCTTGATTGTAACCCTCAGTTTGCCAATGCCTGATAAGATCTTTGGGGATCTCAATGTTGACATATTGTTCTTCTGTAGTGGATGCTAAGGCACACTGATCCATCCTGGAGGATTGGATGTATTCATTGACATGAGGTCTTCTGGTAGAAAGAAGACGAGTGATAGATCTAAGGGTAGATCTTTGTCTCCTAAAAATATTATAAGGACTAAGGAGATAATTGAACGTCTCAGAGATTTGAGCATCTTCTGGGACATAGGAATATTCTATGAGGTTTTCTATTTTTGAAGAAAGAGTTTTTGAAATATTTTTGGGAAGAGAATGAGTTGAGTTTAACAAAACGGGACCGGACTCTGACGATGATGTTTGGTTATCCATGTTTAAAGATTTCTCTTACTCACTTTCCACTTATAATTCCTACTATTATACTCCCTGGTTAGGCTTTGATACCATTTCGGACAAAGACCACTTCTTATCCAGACGATATGAACATCCTCGGGTATAACGACGTCATCTCTCGGCTAAAAGCCCACTCAAGTTCATATTTCTTATAAGAAGAGCACTCTGCGATAAAATGGTTTCATAGATCGGAAAATTTCTAATACACAGGATCCTCTTTCGAGGCAAGTGTAGAGCATACTTGCATCTAAGTGGGGAACAATACTAAGAACTATAAGCTTTAAGATTTCAGAGAAGAGAAAACTTAGAGAGAGAACATTTTAGAAAGAGAACGTGTATTGATTTCACTTGATTGTGTTCTGCCTTACAACATTACAAGCATCTCCCATTTATAGCAAAACTAAGTAAGTGGAATCCAAAGTTTCGCTAAACTAGAATGAAATTCGGACCCGAAACTTATGTTACAAGGTAGAATCCGAAATAAGATAATGAAATTACGGCTCACACATCATAATGGTCTTACAAAGGACAAAATAGCATGATTCACACTTTATTTTAGTCATACTTATGGACAAAGTAGAAAATATAAGATAAGATTCAAAAATGATGTCTTATCTCTTCATGAAAAAGTAAAGTTGATACAGATTTATCTTCCTTAACACGTTTGCGGTAATCGCAATAGACACGTGTAAAGATAAGGGAATCGTGCTCTAGTAGCATGTCATAATGACATTCATTAACTAAAGTCTTTACTTTAGTCAGATCGGGTGGAGCCAGAATAATTCATCTGTTGGGTTTCGCTCCTTATCATGCTTCCATGTAGTGGGTCCCAGTAGAGATACATATTCTTGTGCATCATCATTTCTTCCATCAGATCTTCATTGATATTATCTGCTAGATCTTCAACCTTCTGGAAGGCTTCATCAGGGACGCTCATCTCTGTCCTTGATTTGAAAATTCTTATTTCTTGAGATTTGTCTTCTTCTGGGATGATCTTATCCATAGGATATGAATCAGGTGGTCTTTGGGATGAGTTGACGATGTTTGGGTCTACTAACTTGTGCTGGTAATGGTTTACTTCACAGAGGTGATGCGCCAGTTGTGCTCGGTAATTTTTATCAAGTGGGTAAGTTTTAAAGCTGGCCCAAAGATAAGCTTCATTTCTTGACCATAGTTGTCCTACTGAATTTAAGAAGTATGGACAGTGGATGATGAAGATTGATGTCAAATTCTTGAGAGAGTCTTTAGTAACTCCTTTCTGTCTTTGACAATCTAGAATCTCCTTGAGCTTTCATTGTCTTCCTCAATGAGTACTTCTCCCTCGTATTCATCACTGGCATCAGTCTACAGTACCCTCTTTCTGTTGCCTGGAATCTTCAGAGCTGGAGGAGTTTGGGCTATTTTCTTCAATTCTTTGATGGCTCTGGTCTGTTCTAGTCCCCATGGAGGTGAATTTTTCTTTTAAGAGCTTGGATAAGGGACTTGTACACTTGACAACATTAGGGATGAATTCTCTAATGTCATTGACTATCTCGAGAAATTGTTGGATCTGCTTGAGGGTCAGATTTTCATTCGGAAAGTTGAGGAGTTCCTCAGTAATGTGAGGTTGAGGCTGATAAGAACCGTGACAGAAGTGCATTCCCAAAATGTCGATTTCTTCTTGGGCCAAGTGGATCTTTTTCTCTGAGAGCATAATCTCATGTTGATGGACTATTTCAAAAAATTGATCCAATAATTGTTTGTGGAAGTTCATGTCTTGTGAGAGCAATAAAATATCATCAATGTATATGGTTGCTCTATCTAGTATGGGCTTAAAGATTTTTGTCATGGCTTTTTGAAACAGTGATGGGGTTGTCTTAAGCCCAAATGACATTACTTTCCATTGATATTGGGCATTGGGTATACAAAAAGCAGTTTTGTATCTGTCGGTAGCGTCAATGCCTAATTGTCAAAATCCAGATTTGAGGTCAAACTTAGAAAATATATGGGCTTCTTTTATCAAAGTGAGTATGGATGAGGTTTTGGGTATTGAAAATGTATCATCCTTAAGAAAACAGTTAAGAGGCTTGTAGTCGATTACTAACCTCCTTTTCCCTCTGATTTTTTTGGACCTCTTTTCTACATAGAAGGTTTGACAGGCCCAATTGGATTGTGTTGGTTCGATCAGGTCTTGTTTCAACCGTTCCTGACATTCTTGTCTTACTAACTGTAGGTCTGAAGGAGACATTCCTGAGTGAATGACCTTTGTTGGATTGACATCTTGGTCTAGCTTAAAGGGTAATTGTACAAAGAACTCGGGATTCTTCCATAATAGCTTGGGATGAGAAAATTCTTCATGACTGTTAGCGCACAAACAGGCTAACTTGTTCTTTATTTCCTCAAAACCTGGAGGAGCTTCAAAGAGAGAGAAGAGTTTAGGTACATCAATAAAATGTTTGAATTCTCTCTTCTACTTGACCCCTGAAGAAAAATTAATGATAAAAAATTGTTTTGTAGTATTAAATCAAAACTTTCTAATAATATATATAAATATTGTGATATTCTATGAGAATTTTGTAAGGAGATATACTTAATTAGGATTTTTACAAGTTATAAAAATAATACAAATTTGAATGGATTGATTTTTGAGAATTTCCTCTTTCAAGTTTTTAAATTTTAACTATATACGTACATTAAAATATAAAATACACCATCTAAGTCCTAAAAATATCTTTTTAAAAAATTAAGAACTCGTAACATTTTTAAGTATTTGAAATTTTGAAAGAAAAAAAACTGTCAAAATAACCTTTTAAAATCTTAATTCAATACACCACCTCATATTCAATCGAATACAACACTAAAATTGAATACAGGCTTCCTGCAAGCCAGCGTAACAAGTTGACATTACCTTTCAAACTTTGATTCCGACGAACTTCAAGATAAAAAAAGAGGGAAAACAAAGAATATAAAAAATGGGTGAAATCAAACTCGGAAGCACATATGCTGGCCGGGCCTCCATAAAAGTTACGCCGCCGACGTATGTAGCAGTAATGCGTCAGCTTTCTCCACTTGATTAATCCAAATTCTTGTTGCTGAAGGCCAGCAGTCACGTATCCACTGGGCAGTAAATTCCTCAGATGTACAATGGTTAACATCCCAGTTTAGTTTTGCTCGGAATGTGTAGAGATTTGCACACCTATCACTTTGGTGTCATGCTTTCTCTTACTTCTACTGCGCCGGGATCTGGGTGTTTTAGTCCTTAGAGAGGGCTTGTTCGTCTGCTCTTGTGTACCAATTAATACTTTGTCATTAGATGGGAGCTCAGGAGGTGTATCTGGCCATGGAGTGCGTTTTGATGGGATAGTGATGTCCAAGGGAGGGTCAATTATCCATCTGCATAAAGTAGAATCATATAGTTAGTCAGGGATATGGACAGAAAATGTGCTAAAAAATATTATGCTTTATCTTGAGGATACATAAATCTATGCACCATCTGTTGGATGCCACGTCGCAGATTACAGGCACAAAAATATGCATGATATGTGCCGAATAAACAACTCCTTGATTCCCGGAGAAATTATAGGGTCAAACTGGTTTTGGAATACATTTTCTGTTTTTGTTTCTTGATTTTATGCATAAGTACACATGTCATGTTATTTTTACAGTACTTTCTGAAATAGTCAAACAAGATATATCTGTAATTATTTGTGAAAACAGTAAATTCACATATTTTACAAATAGCTTCAGTTTATCATGGGAAGAACGAATTTCAGAAGCCAGAAAATTTTCAGTCAATAAAAGTTGACTTGTTAAAGAAAAGAAGACAAGGAAAACAGGGGGCAGCCTTAAACAACAACACATTATTGCTTGTATGTGACGTCATGAAATGTTTAAGTTTTAAGATTGCGCAAATGGTGATACTGAGGTCTCAATGTTCCTTTTTCCAGCAATTAATTACGTAATCTTTGGAAAGTTCTTAAATGTAACAAAATTTTTATTAACAGAGACGTTCACAACAAATCCCTCTCATTGACAAACACGAATGTAGCTATCAGACGTTAACCAACAATTAAAATCTAACAAAACCGGCATGTATTTTGGTTTTATTTGGCCCTTCAGATAGCAAGATCATCTAAAGACTGACTTGCAAGACATAAGTAACTACGGACATTAAAATAATAAAGGTGCCTATAATGACAGAAACTTGCATGACTTTCAGACAGATACTAATGGCTTAATAGAAATCCTGCAATTCTACATGCAGTCCAGATAATTAAACAATCAAGATGCCTGCAAGGGAAACCTCCCTCAACCATGCTTCACCGTTTCAGCACTCACATTTGTAACCCCCTAAAGGGAACCAACACCTACAGAGAATCGTGTAGACTATCTAAAAGATAATCCCTCTATCTAAGAGAACCAAAAGAAGAAAGGAGCAAAATCCGTGCCCAATGACATTGAGTCTTTCAGTTTTTCACTTTTGGAAGTGTATTCGTAGTGATATATTTTTCAAACCAGGACGAAAAATGTTAACAAATATAATAATATATAAACGTCTACAAAAATTCTGCACCAACTTGGCAGGAGTTTACTTTCTAAGCTACGTTCTGCATAGCTCAGTCTTACCTGTATTATCTTAGCTGTTGATTCATTAGAATTCAATTAAGCTGTAAAACTACAGATCGTCCTAAAAAAAGTCTACACTCAGCTCTACATCAATCGATGCCCAATATCCATGCAAGATGCAGCTATTCCTAATAGGATAATTCTGAGCACAGCAATACAGGTAATTGGTATGTATTCTTTGGGTTTGTCATCCTATCAAACACATTTAAATCGTGCAAATATTCAAAATAGTTAAATATCCAGATATCACGCAGAAAATTGTAAAAAAGTCAGGCATCACATGGAAAAATGCAACTTAAGACAATCACAAATGAAATTTCCAAAATCAAGGAGAGGACTCACTGAGAAGGAAATTTGCTGTCTGTACGGGCTTCAACCCGTAGCCACCAAAGTAAAACTTGACGTCCACAGTTCCCTAGTGGCTCTACCAGGGAGGTGCTCTTGAGCAAGGACAATGGACTTTCTATCTCTTCATCAACCCCATTCAATGAATCAAGATCCTTAACCCACTCTGGCTTATCATCAACATCCTTCCAAACCAACCTGGAATTCAACACAAACCCTGACCACTCAAGCTTTCTGGGTAGCACAGGTGCCTTATCATCAACATAAACCGCACTCTTCCCTGTATAACGCAGTGAATTGAAGGTGTGCCACCCAACCAACTTATCCGTAGCATTACAAGCAGGACCCTGCACAGGCATAACCGCACCTTCCTCCTCCATCTGAACCATAGATGAAGACTCGTCCGAATGAAGCAATATTCCAACCGAAACAGCCCCAATCCATTTCACATTTTGTGCTTCCTCAAACAACTCCATACTATGCGTATTACTATCATCAGCAAACACCACAACTCCATCCAACTTCTCTTTTCTCACAACTCTGTTCAAAATTAACATAACGTAAGTCTTCATTATGCATTTTCACTGTATTCTGTGATTATGTCTCGCGCACTAACAAAAATAGTACTCCATAAAGTTTCTACACTCAGCATAACAAAAATAACATCAATCGAGTAAAAGGAGGTAGTAAAAGCTAACCTCAAAGCATGAAGTCGCAACCGAGACTCAAGCTTATGCCTAGCTTCCCACAAATTCGGCATTCGTTGAGAAAAGCCAACGTGGATTGTTCTGAGACCAGACTTGGCAATAATCGAGGCGGTTTCGTTGGTGACTCCACCGGCCTCCACCACGATCCACACCAGATCGTACGGCACCAGCATCAGCGCGTGCATAACACCAGTCAAGTGCAGCGTCTGAAACGTGCGAACATAAGTTGGCGTCACCGCGATCACCGTCCTAGGGTTCTTCACTCCAAAAAGCGTCCTCTGCTCCCTCTGCACCCTCTCGATTATGCGGTGCGCCTTCATCACCTCAACAGGATCCGGATGCGGCCACGGCCGGATTCGGATCCCGTGCCTCCCGACCACCACACGACTCGCGGTGCCCACCGCCGCCGTCCGGTTCGCCGGCGGAGGGCCGTCCAGCGGAGCTGCGATTTCCGTTCCGCCGCGGAACGGAGCTGTGTAGAGGCTGGCGGAGAAGAGGAAGAAGAAGACAAGGCGGGAGAAGCGGAAGCCAAGGACGAGACTGATGAGGCAGCAGAGACCGTGGATTACCAGCCAGAAAATCGCCGCCGGTGACTTCACCGCGCCGTCCCCTGCCGAATCCAACTGCCCGGATCCTCTGAAGCTGTTGGCCCGGCGCGTGAGGTAACTCTGCTGCAACGCCGAGAGCTTCATTTTATCTGTGTAAATAGTCACAGAATGAGTGTTCGTAAGTTGAAGTCCTAACGCACTGCTACTCTCATATGTTTGGATTTGATTCGAGGTTTGGAGTTCGTAGCAGAAGAGTTTGCGTTTTGAATTTGAAGGAAGAAGGTCGAAGGTTGGAGATGGTGGTGGCTTTAGGTTGGTGCTGCTGTCATTTAATCATTCAACCTTTCTTTGGGTTTACGGTTAAACCGCTTTGCTACTCCCTTCTTTTTTGTTAATTTTTTTTTAATTATTCTAACAACTTCCGATTCGGACACAATTAATTCAAAATAATTGAAAACAAAAAACACAAATACTACACGGCTATACTCTGGTCAACGCAAGTCTTTTTAATTTCATTTTCCTTCCATCCAATGGTAATTTTCCCGCAGTTTCTCCACCCCCAGAAAAAAAAATTTTAAATATTGCAGACATTCTAAGCAATTCAAAATATATTAAACCAACAAAATTTCTAGATAAAAGAACATGTAGCGACATTGAAATTTCCTTTTCTTCTACGAACCAAATGTTTGGAACTTTTTGTCTTTTTTTCTGATGTTGTTTGTTTTCTTGTTTTAATTTGCATCCAACACTGTAACTGTAATCTTTCCTACACTTTTACTCAACTTCCATTTCTTACAATTACAAGTCGTGAAAATTTCCAAAAAAAAAATTTGCTCTTTCCTATTTCACGATATTCATGTAGATTATAATCCTTTTCTAGAATTAGGAGTGGTAGTGCTAAAGGGTTAATTGAATGGGGAGAGAAATAGTAAACTGTCAAAATCTCCTAAAGCTATAGCTGTTAGATATCTAAATTGAAACTATGATGTTCGTGTCTCTTATGTTTTCCATGTTGGTATGCTTTGTCCTGAGTGAAACCTCCAATGATCATTCCATATACATAACTTTCTCCTTCAAGAATGTATAATTGGCACCATTTGGCCTTGTTCAAACTTTTCTGTAAAATCATCACCAACTTACAAGACTTTTACATCACGATGTGATTTACACATATACTGCTTTTCGTATTTCCATTTTGCTACTGCAATTCTTGTGTCAATTCTTAATGAGAGTGACAGTGACACACATATCAATTCGTCTCGATGGCAGGTTTTACTCATGCATCACCCACAACACGTTTTGACGGTGTGCTAAATTATTTGCTGCAAATAACAAGAGATTTTCTCTTTGCTACATTGCGGAAATAAGGAAACAAAAACCAACAAGAACTTTCAGGACAACAAACCCAACTCAGCCCTATGATATTAGGTAGAACCCGCAAAAGCTAAATGAGTTTGGTGGGTTGCTTCGGTCACAAATTGCATCCAAACCAAATATGACCAAACGGTTCCTTCAGAATGTGGCTAACCATGCACATATATTGCATAATAAAATGGTCGTATTCGCTTCCAAATTCCTCCAACTTATCATTACCAGCACCACGGGAAGGATTCTACAGTGAAAGAAAATTTTACCTTGGAAAATCTCTGGGTTATTTCTGTCACATAGTACTTAGAAATTACACGTAATAATGCCATGATATTTTTTTGACTTTCAAAATGAAAAGAACAAATTCGGTAGGTGAGTTGTGATATGTCAAAATCATTGGTGGCCAGAGCAATATGCTTGCAAACAAAGAAAATCTTCTTACCTATTACTTAACTCTCTGATATAAATAAAACCCAGCATGTTATTAGGTACTTTGCTTGATTACTACATTTCACCTTTAATTGATGCATATAACATGTTTTGTTTCATTATATGATTGGTTAATTGCGGTGTTTTTTAAATTTTAAATGAGAAGAATCAAGGTAGAAGGAAATTAGGATAGAATGTGTTTTATTTAATTTTAAGGAAATATAACAGAAAAAGAGTGAGGAGAATTTTAATTTAAAAAAATATATATTTTTAAAAAATCTTCTATCTATTTTTTTTCATTTAAGTTTTTTTTTAATAAAATATTTTCATATAAATATATAGTGAGTATACTAATTTATTCTCTCCAAAATTGGCAGAAATTTTTTTTGTTAATCTAGTTCTGAGATAAAGATGAATAATAGACTCTTTTCTAAATTTTAAAACATTAATATTCTTTTAAATGTTTTTTTTTCTTTTTTACATTACATTAAAAAATAAATTCTTCTTTATTTTATACCCCTATTTTTTCTTTTATATTTTCTCAAACTCTTTCACTAGTTTAACAAAATAAGTTAGTTTTTTTTTCCTTATATTTGAATATTATGTACGGATCTTAGTGGCATATTTTGTTATTTTTAGATTTTATTATTTTTATTTATTAAATATTAAATTTTATGTTAATTAAATAATTATATTTTAAAGGTTGATATTTTGAATAATTAATAATTGATTTTTTTCATTTTACATAAATTAATTCAATAAAAAATATCTTATTAAATGATTTTATAAATTATATATTTTATATTTATTAATATTTTAAAATGATAAATTTAAAACTAACTAATAAACATATATAATTAAATATTTAATTATAAATCAATAATGTCATGTGTATTTTATATTTATATGAAAAAATTATATATATATTATTGGTGTTATTTTTATAATGACAATTCTTTGTCTATATTTATGAAATTATTGATATTGTAATGTTTTCTAATATACCCTATCGTCAACTGACTTTAACTCTTTACATATAGCACACAATATTTGTCTTGATTTTACTGTGATGCTAGGAGAGAATAAATAAAGTGTATTGGTTATTCAGTATTGAGAAACTTTTATATATATATATATATATATATATATATATATATATATATATATATATATATATATATATATATATATATATATATATATATTAAATGAGGTTATATTTATATTTTATTTATATGGTTGATCAATCATTTAACACGATAATTTTTAATTTTTATATTCTAAATAATTATAATTTTTTTTAAGTCTAAAATGTCGAAGACTCATTATTACAATTTTTAAAACTATTTACTATTTTCGTACATCTCTTTGTTACTGGTTTTTCTTTTTCTTTTTCTTAAAAATGGTCACAAATTTAAGAGTGCAATTTCTCATTCCAAGAATTAAAATTTACTTTGACTGATATTAAGTTACAAACGCCCTATGCATTCTGAAACTCAGTTAAATAAATAAATAAATGTCTCATTTATTTCATTATTTATATTTATTTAAATTATTTTTACACCAACAAATACAAAATCTGAAAACATGGGACATTATATTTTTTTTCAAAATTGAATCAATGTTATTTTTTTAAGATTTAAATATATCTTTAGATAATATAAAATTAACAGGTTTTGGTTTTTGTTTCTCTATTTTTCATTTTTTATAAAATTTAAAATCACTATTTTCAATACTTATAAATGTGTGAATTTCGATTTTAGTTCTATAAAATAATTTATATATATTCATTCGTTTTATATTTCAACTCACTATTCTAGTTGTTAATACTTTAAAATAAATAAATAATATTTATTTTATGATCTTTTTATACTTTTAAAAATATCACAATGTTGACTTTATTAATATACACGACTTTAAACCAAAAACTATGGTTTTTGAATTTATAGATATCAAAATCAAAATTCACTCATTTTACATAACTAAAAACATAATATTTATTTTATTTAAAAAAATATATTTTTGCTATTCATTAATGTTTTAAAGCAATTAAAATCACTAGATAACTTGACATTAAAATTAAGAAAATTTCAAACTGTTTCTCAAAAGTATATATTTGACATTATTAAAAGTTTTATGATAACTTCTGTGTAAACCTTAAGTATTATTGAATCTGTCCTTTAAAGAGTAATAGTTTCATGGTGATATATTAAGCCCAATTAAACATGAATATGGGTGTGGGCTAACTTTTTTTTTTTTTAAGCTGGTTGGACCCAACTTTTTTTAAAACATTGGAGTAAATTGGGTTTTGAACTTATCTTTGGAAAATGATTTTTTTGTACTTTTTTATTTTAACGTGATTTCATCCAAGCAAAGGTTGGTATATAAAAAATTAATATATATATTTTATATATTATGCTATATGATTCCCTGATCATAATTTAAAGTTTTAGCTAACTTGATTTTCAATGATTTAATTTTAGTTAATTATTTAATATATTCTAATAGTTTAAGAAATATTTGCTAATACTAGATACACTTTTATTTTAGTGAAGATAATATCTTATTTTGACTATTTTCTTTTATTAATTTATTCATGAAAGTTTGATTTCTTTTTTTGTTCAAGAATGATATTAATTACTGTTATTTGAATCCTAATTGTATTAGGATTATTATGTTAAATTCTGTTCGGTTTATTAGCTTTCAATTATGCTTTAATAAGATTAGAAATTAACTTTCATAGTTAATTAGTTTCCAGTTCTAGCTTCGAAAACCCTTTCATGTTTTTTGGTTCTAATAAACCTGATTTCACAAATCTCATAATCATTTGTTTGCTTAATTCATTTATTTTTTTGTTAATATCCTTATTTGAAGTGTAATAAAGTTTGATACATATGTTTTCTTATGACACTAACATGATTAAAGATTTTTTTTAATCACATTTTTTTTCTTTTCTTTTCTTTCTTGAAATAAAATTCACTACAAGAGTTTTACATATTAGCTATGACACATTCCGTAATTATTTTATAACTAATCTCTCGCTGATATGTTTTGTTACAGATTAGTTACGGATACAGATTAGTTACGGAATAACTATGGAATAGTCCATAGCTAAATCCAAGTAGTTAATTAGATACAGATGTATTCTCTCTCAAACTTGTAGCAATTTTTGTCACTAAATTGTCGCTAAATCCCTCGCTAATTTAAATGATGAAATTTTGTTTATCTCTAACTAATTTGATCTCCCAAAACTTGTAGCTAATCCGTAGCTAATCTTTTACAATTTTGCTCTCGCTAATCCATAGCTAATCCCTCACAATTTCGTTCTTGCTAATCCGTAGTTAATCCCTCGCAATTTCACTCTCGCTAATTCGTAGCTAATCTCTCGCAATTTTTCTCTCGCTAATCCGTAGCTAATCCCTCGCAATTTTACTCTCGCTAATTCGTAGCTAATTCCTCGCAATTTTTCTCTCGCTAATCTGTAGCTAATCCCTGACAATTTATCTCTAGCTAATATGTGGTTAATGTCTCGCAATTAAAACATAACAAAAATAATATTTCAACTAAAAAGTTATGTATAACACAATTAAAAATAGAAACAAAGTTTAAAGTACGTTTTCATCATTGTTTCTTTAAAGCAGATAATAAATCTTTCTTGAAAGACTGCATTTCTTCTTGCATTTGTTGTTGCATGAGTGTTTGCATTTCTGCTTGTGTCTTCATTTGTGCTTGCATCAATACTTGCATATCAATTTGTGCCTGCAACTGTGTTTTCATCTGCTCTTGCAAACTAGATATTTGTGTAGCTAAGGTAGTGATTTCTTCAGTGAGAGGTGTGGTAAGATTTTGGGAAGAAGGACCTTCAACTGATGAAGATGAAACATGTGAAATACCAAGATCCAAACTCTAACATATACCATAAATTCTACCTTTTTTATTTCCACCAGCAGTCTTTATCCAAATATCAAAATCAACTATAGGATGATTTGATGTATCTTCCCACATATTTTTCAATCATAGCATTTTCATATGATTCCTACATCAAATCAATATTTTAACAATATTATAAATAAACAAAATTTAATATCCAACTACTCTTATTTTATAATAAAATGAAAGTATAAATTATTATTATTATTATTATATTAATAAAAAGAAAATATTATTACTATATTAAAAAATTATTGTAATTAGGTTATTTTTCTAGTTGTGGTAAGATGGTATAATCATTTGATATACCTCAGTCCATCTATATGTATCTATATCTTATTATATATAAATAACGGAAGGAAGAAAAAACAATTAAAGAGGAGATTGAAATTAGGTTTTGTGAATAATGCTGGCCAGTGTTGCTCTCAGTTCTCTTCTTAATATCTTTTCAGTGTGAGACTTGGGAATTGATTGAACAAAATAAACCTTGTGCAGTCTCTTGTAGAACACCACCTGTTCACAACAACACAACATGCAAACTGTAAATATGAAA